CGTCCGCTCCAGCACCTCCCCTCCTTCCAGCTTACACCCTTAGTTTAACGATTTTATTTCTTTTATTCGGGATACTCTGTAGATATCAATTATATTAAAATTCGCTAGCGATCATTTTTCTTTCTTGTCAATATCATAAGTTAGGTCGGTAAATGGCCGGGTTGCAAATGGCCTGGCAGCACAATAACTGGGTTAGCAAGGGAGTGGTGAAATCCGCCGGGTGGCAAAAGATTGGGTGTGGAAACGGGCCTGGCCCGGGCCTCTGTCGAGTGTTTCTGTTTTAATGACTGCTCCAAACGTGCATGACAGTTGTTGCAGCCTGAAACCTTGATGATCGGATGTAATATAGTGTGGGAATCTAAGTGACAAACAGCCAAGGAAATCCTGATCACATTTACACAATTTCATCATGATTAAGTAATTCGCAAACAGGATGTCCCTGCTAGATAGGGGCGTATGCTTTTGTCGTCTCATTCACCTCCAAGGTATTCCCTTTGCTGGTACACAAATATTTTTGCTGTGACCTACAGAGTATTATCAACTATATAATCCTTTCTAATACTAGGCATGTGGTTGCACCTTGCCTGAATTAAGTGTAAGCAAAAGAGCCATCGAAGTGGATAAATCCTGATTTGTTTGCGGAATTTTTGCATGCCTGAGCTCAACTGAAATAATTCTAAATTCCCAACCAAAGGCACGGGTGAGTCAACATACTAGACTTGAACCGGTATTAAGCAAATGGTTAATTAAACTGCAGAAAAAGTTCCAAGCAATTTGGTATGTACTAAAATTGACTAAACATGATTAAAATTTAGTAGAATTAGCAACTGTTGGATGTATAGGCCTATACGATATTTTTAGAGCATATCTATAAGCATCCTGAGTTAAACTTCCTACAACCTGTTCCTTCTTGCTATCAAAGCAACTATATTCTACTACGAAAGCTTGTGGTATTTAAGTCAATTCCAGCTTAAACATATGCGGTTTAACGTGTAGCATTGTAATCATATAGACTAGGTATAAATTGTACAATTTATATCGCATCGTCAGGGAGGGTGCTGCTGCCGCTTTGCTTTGTTCTCTTGCTTTGTTCTCTATTGGAATGATTTCATTATGTTCTTTTTATGTTGTAGTAACATTAATTTTGATACCAGCTTGGTTTATTTTTGTGATTACACGCTCCTGTATGTAGAATTTGTGTTCAAGTTGAATAGTCGTAGGCCTACACATTTTGCCACTGACATACATGTGTAGTCAACCTTGCTCATTAATTATTATTCACTAATATTGTACAGTCAATTTTAGCCTTATACATTGGTTTAGTTTTAAAACATAGGCCTTTAGTAAACTGTAAGTTCTTGTAAACTGTTTAGCCTTATATTTCCAAGCGTGATTAACTTTTTAAACAAACACCTCATCTGCTAATTCCCCTTTGTTACCATCGGGATTACACTGTCACCATTTGCCTTAAACGTAAAGGTATTAAATATAATTGCATTACAAACCAGAGTTGACAGTCGACGAGCTTCATCGTAACACACGCTACCTCATGGCCAAATTTCGGCCAAACCTTACTTGAAACAAATAATCGACGTCACACTGACGTAATTTAATACGCGTAATATTCAACAACTGCTTTTAAGGCACTAGTATATTGTGCAATCTTGCTTATAAATTAGTACTGTAGTAAAAAATAAGCTTTTGCGTTTGTTAGTTATACTATTTTTTCAGGCAATTAACTGACTTTCCACAAATTCTGCACGATTCGGCTTTTCGCATTCTACGACAAGGCGAATTTTTATATCACACGATGAGGAAACAATTGCAAAACACATAATTATGATTTTTCTTTATACAAAGAACCAGCGAAATTTTCCCCAAGCTCACTGTTCTTATTTTTATCGCCAATTACAGGCTCAATATGTTCTTATTTTGTTCATATTTTATATCACTAGTATATCACTGTACTGTATTATAGAGGTTATTACATAGTTTTGGATATATATTATTATTATTGGTTTTCTAGTTGTTTTTTAACATTAAAAGCTCATTTGACATTACCTCAGCCTCAAATTCCAACCTCAGTGTTCTTATAAAATGTGTTCTGTGTTGACGGACGCAAACAAAAGGATATTTCTGTAACTTCTTCCTTTGTCTCTCAACATCGTGTATTTAAATTATACAGGCTACTAATAATATTAATTTGAGGGTATAGAATGTCCGGTTTTTATAATCTGATCACATTTGTGATTTAATTTAGTACACTTCAGAATACGTTATTGCTGAATTAAGCTATCGTACTTTATTCTGTTCTATTCATTTTTTTTTTTATGTTACCAGGTGGAAGTATAATTCAAAATTTCGGTTTCAAGTCAAATTAAATCAGATAATATTTGTTTTACAAATTTAAAAATAGCCAAAAATAAAATAACATGAACAACGAAACTGATGAGGATACCAATCTATTCGGACACAAATAAACCAATCACATTGGTGCCACACTCTAGATTCGCTAATATTTCGTAAAATGTAGTTAAAATACTTAATCAAATATAATCAAGCATTGCTTTCTATTATAATTATTATTGACTTCATTATATTTTGTAAATTTACATCGTCAAACAAAAGCAACTGCACTAAAGTATAATCGACCTTAAACTTTGTCGTTTTTAAACACCGCATTTATGCGAATAAGCGCCCCAGAGTGTTTATTGTTTAAATCATTTATGAGAGGGCGTTTATTCAAGGGAGGCGTTCATTTGAGGGAGGAGTTTATTTATTTATTTGTGTGTGTGTGTAAAATGAATAAGTATATAGGCCTACTCAAATGAAAGCCTCTTAATTTCACAGTAAATATGGAGCTACAACACATAATGACCGTCAAAATGTGATTGCGTGACTATAAAAAATTATTGTTCCCAACCGGTTCAGGAAAAAATGTAATTCTAATGGAGTAGAACATTAAATGTTTTGAGAATGATGTTTCTTCCATTACATTTTTGGTGGCGTTTAGAAAAAAAAATACGCCTTTGGGCGTTCATTCGAAAAAATAAAAATAATGCATTGGGGCGTTTATTCGAGAGGGGAGTTTATTCCAAATTAGCCTCTAGAGGTGGCGCTATTAGAAGGGAAGTTATTTAAATAAATATGGTAAATCGTTTTGTGTAGATATTAGCCCATTGTTTGGTGCAGGTTGCTGATCGGTACAGCCACATTGCTTCTCTAACCTATCATCAACACGGGTATTATGTTCTCAAAAAAGATTTAAAAACCACAACCAAAATCAGTGGTAGATTCAATGAGGGCATCCACCCTGCCTCCCGCCACCCTAACGTTTTCAAAATTATTACAAAATAAAAAATATCAATGACCAAACAAGTCATAAAATAATAATACATGTTAGGCTAAGTGTATGAAATCGTTTCATAAGTATTGGATTACCAGTGGTAATTGTTTTAAATACGAATACAGTACATTAGTTTACTTTAGTCACGTGAGATACAAAATTCCCTTTTTTTTTTCCACCAAAAATAAAAACATTTGGTGAGAGTGAAGGCTACACATGTGTGTTTTATGTGTAGATACCAATTATATTATTCAACCAGGGAACAGTTAAATTAATTTAACTGTTCCCTTATTCAATATTTAATGCGAGCGCTTGGCGGAATGGATGCGAATCAGATTTTGCAAAAATTAATGAGTGAAATATCATCATTTGTTGATCGGTTCATACAGTTTTAATAGAGAGGTTATGAAATGTTGAAGTGAAAAGGTGAATGCCGAAGTCAATGTTACTGGAAGTAAGACATTAGGAAGCTTTCGATTGCACGACGACGGTAGTACGTAGAACGTAATGACGTCACTAGAAGTCATTTGCGCATGCGAGAAGTTAAGGTCACCTCGTCGAATAGATTCTGGAACCCAATTTGGCCAAATTTACGTATGCAGAGAACGTAGGACGCCGGGTAAGACGGTCACGCATCAGTGATTCCGTTCTAACGTCGCGTCGTCGCATACATTGAAAGCTCCCTAATATCAATATAAAGACAAAAGGAAGATTTTAAAAATCATAAAATATGTATATATGTAAAAAAAATTGAAACTACAAACTGTTTCTAAAACAAAACATAGGTCTTTTCCTCATTTCCATAATAAGAAGTGTTTTTTTATACTACCAAGCAATTTAACAAATCATTAAAAATAATTATGTAGTTAAAATAAGCATGCAAGCAAACTGGACGTTAGTGAAACTCGAACTATGCCTGCAGTAGTAAATATAAGATGTTGTTCTTACTATTACGCTAAATAACTGGACCCTACGGACTTTTGTGCATTTTAAGTTTGCGTATTGTTACAATTCGAGAGCAAGCATTTCACGGTAATTTTGTGTTTAACATAGCTGATAACTAGCTAGTTAGAAATACTTTAGAGAGCGAAAATGGCGTTAACGTAAAAGTTAATTACCCATTACTATTCGAAATATGTAGGATGACGTCATATTTACTACGCACATGTCTGTGGTCTTCGCTTGGACAAAAGTGCCGGACAGAAAACCCCTGTGCAAAAACATAGGAAGAAAATCAAAGAAGAAAAATCAGAACAAAAACAATGCTTGTTTTTTTTTTTTTTTTTTCTGTTAAGGCAGGAATAGTCAATTAAGGAAATTGTTCATGCAAAATAATATGTTTCCAAAAAGTGTAGTCAACCCACTGTTGCTTTTATTTAACCCAAACTGCTTTGCTACAATTAAAAATGATACGGTATATCCTCTTTCCTCTTGATGAAAATTAAAATTGATTGCTTACGGGTTTCTTCACTACTCCGTGTATTTAACAAATTACGGTACATTATATTTTATGAAAAAGTGAACGACAGGCCTTTTATTAAACTTTTTTACTTGACACAGAAAAAGGTTAATTGATTATAATTTTAATTAAAAGCTAATATTCTTTAATAATCAATTAAGTTAATGCATTAATTTTAATAGATTTTAGAGTATACCCTTATAATAGATGGCTTAATTAATTGGTTCACTATTTCAGCTTTTTAATTTAATCGGTTTTAAGCTAAGTATTAGAATATTTTCAAAGCATCTAAAGAATGAGTTTGGTAATCTTACATTTTATGTTATTCTCAGTATGTTCACATTATACATAGAGCGCAATAATAATTTGGTATGATTATTTTTAAACCTATAGGGTACCACAATGGAAACGGAGACGAATGAACCAGCTGCCTCTCTGGCTGCAGTAACAGCCTTCAAATCAGCAGGTCTGGCGTTTAATAAAAAAAGATTAATTGAAAAGAAACGTGACAAAGGTAAGTGTATTAAAGCATTAGACCTGAATTTTAATAGCAAACAAATTTTGTGTAGTGTCTTAGTTTACTTAGGGATATTTATATATTTGGCTATATTTACATGTTGTTTAGTTACATTTTTGCCTTCATTCTTAATACCATCCTCATCCCATATATATATTTTTTTCAGAACTACCTATTGACTTTGAGGAGTTGGACCTGAACTTGCCACCTTTGCCTGAACCTACACCTCTTATTGGTATGTTCAACCTTTCTTGACAAACCGTTCTTAACATAAAAAATACCGCAGTCTACAGTGCACCTTGCTGTACTCTAATATTAACTTAATAATTGTATTCCTTATACCGAGCATAGGCCTACATGGATTATACACATGAATTATATTTTATTGTCCTGAAACATTACTAAACTGTAACTCTATTAAAACAGACGTTGCACAATAAGCAAGCAGATATTTACATTACACTTACGAGGTTGCGGAATACACACATTGTCAGTTTTGTTTTCTCGAAAGAGTATACGAATCGGGTGGGTTGAGATAGATGAAAGTTCACTTTTACATTAAAACATCATATTATTACAAGATAACTAAACTTGGTACTATGAATTTTAATCAATAAATTACTAGATAATTAGCTTGAGGCTAATCTTCTGAAAGTATACAACTCAGAATTGCTTTGTTTATGTAGTTAATAAATGTCCTGATGTTATCACTATTGATGTAAAGCTACCACAATATATACACATTTGAGGTCAAAAACTTTATCTCTTTATTGCAAGTTAATTAAGTCATTCGTTGTTTTTGTGTCTTAGTGATGCAAAGTAAAATAGTAAATAGTATGTGTATTTGAGATGAACTTAACAGGTCTTTGCTGAGATAGCGAGAGGTTGCAACTAAATAAATGCATTTTATCAGAATATTGAAAAACAAATGAGAGTTTATGTTGAAAAAGTATACCTGATACGTTTTGAACGTTTTTGAAATACTGAATAGTACAACATTTTATACCACAGGTAAAAATGCTTCCATTGAAGCATGTGCACTGGCAGAGTTCCCTATTCAGTCACACAGTAAGTTGAACTTTAATGTAAATGCCGGAGCGGGAGGTGGAACTGCACTTCTTACAATCGTCAGAAGCCGGTCAGGCCATGCAGCTGGACAAGTTCAACTTGTTCGCTGTGGATCAAGTGGCAACCACTTTGAAAACCTGTCATTGGTCAAAACGGGAACGCATTCAACTTATGGCTACAATATCACATGTACCGACAGCGCTGGCGACCTATGCCCACTGGCCCTCTTTGGCTCGTCACGTACAAGTGTCTTGTCAAACCTGCCACGGTTTGGAAATGGCCAGTGTGGACTTGTTGTGCAGAGTGACGAGAAAGGGGTAATTGAAACTGGAATCGAAGTCGATAATCCGCCAATGTATTTCACGTTGTTGGTGCTATGTAGTGCCCCACCTGTGGATGGAAATACACCATGCAATGCGTATATCGTACAATCAAATCCTTTCTCATCAGCAACATTCTTATCAGAAAAAAATAATTTGTGGAAATTTACAGAAGAAAATGGTCTCCTTGAAATACAAGGCCCCCAAAATAGCACTGTAATCATCTTCTTTAATTCTCCGGAAGATTTAGAAAGTAAAATGTCAGGACAAAAGGCATTAGTGAATTACTCACAAAGTTTCGTTGGTTCGGAAGAGACTGTGCTTCTAAACGAAGTAACAAGATTACCATTTGGAGCCATGTTCCTGTTGTGTTCTCATGGTCTTGGGGTCGATGATAAGACCACTTCTGCCCTTTACATCATTGGTCTAAATAAAAGTAATCTAGATTGCACGTTTGTCCAAGGTATGAGTGGCACATTTTCGTCAGGTAACGCTTGGAAGATTTACATTTCAAGCGACAACCTTGTTGCTGTCGGACCATCTGGACCTTGCCGATATGCAATCTTCTCGAACATCTCATCGCCCATCGAAATTAACGAAAGTCGATTGGCAGAATGTTTACTGACTGGTGAGCCTCAAAAAATGAGAAGTGGTCTTATGGTTTACGAAGACAAAGTAATAGGCTGGATGAACAAAGTATGCAAAGTGAAGTTATATATGAATGGGAAAGTCCTTGAAGTCGTTGAAATCGGAAAGTTATTTAAACAGCCAGACGGGCGTTTTGGATTTCGTCGGGAACTAACAGAAGAAAATAGGAAACCAGGTTTAAAACTCGTCCAGGCATATGCCCTAGTCCAAGATAAAAGTAAGTCAATAGATTAATATGTATATTATGAGTAGGCCTATATCATTTGTTGTTGCAGTGAGTTTTCCACAATTTCCAAAACCATTATTGCCAGATTTCAAACAAAGTAATCCGACTCGATGAAACGTAGTCGACAAAAGCATCGTGCTACTAACTTAAGTGACCAATCTTAAGTATGTTAAGTAAAAAAAAATATATTTCTTTACGTTTTAATCATCGAAATGTCAAAATTATGAGCACATGTTGAATATCTGCTTTGTTATTATATAAACTAGATGGTGTTGAGAAAATGTTAGAGCTAGATGGGTCACCGCAGTCGATAAAGATTCAACCGAAAGGCGTACACGTTGCAGTTAATTTTGGTGGACCAGCATACGAAGCTCTCTCTGGAATCGTATTCGATGACACACAAACGCTTTTCAAAATGGATAAAGAACATGGTATATCTTTCAATAGATGTGTATAAGAGACAGGTGGCAACCACTTTGAAAACCTGTCATT